GGACTTCTTTGAAGCCTTCCTCCCCGGCTGGAATATTTTTGCCTGATGTGCTGGCCTTTATCAGTGATTTCAGCTCATTTAGCGTGACTGTATAGTTGCCATAGAGCGCACTGAACAGCGTCTTGCCGGAGAGGGACTTACAGTAATTTATCCTATTTTCATCGGCGGTGCTGACTATTGCCGCCCATTCTGCACTTTCTCCAATTGCAGCAGTTGTGAAACCGGCCACGTCCTCAATGCTGCACAAGATGTCGAATAAGCGCCTGTACTGGGTTTCGGCATCGGGGTATTGTCGTATGATTTCTTTACATTCGGCCTGAAGAGCGGCACGTTTTTCGGCCCAGAATGCCTGGTACCCCGGCACAGGAACGCCAGCCATTACTGGCTGGACACTTACAGATTAAACACCCGGCCGAGTACTGACGTATAGAACAAATATTGAGACACAACTCACTGCCCGCACTGAATTCACAATGTTGTCCAGACACAAGAATTCAGTCCATATTTCTCATCCAATATCGAGTTTTGTCGAACAGACTTACTCCTTACTGAATGGTCAATCCCTATGAACTGGACGAATGAATCGTATCTCGATGAATCCCCGAATCTCACTCGAATCAATCACCGAATCTTCTGAATCCCCGCGTCATCCAACTGGTTTCACCTTGGGCCGGGAGGCGGAGCTAAATTTGCAGTCATCAAGGCGCGCATCCATTGGGCCGTGCACGGCAAAGCGGAGTTACGGCGAAGTTTACAAATATATGTACCTGGTATATAAGTGGCAGTAGTTGGATATTGTATTAATTTCGTGTCTCTTTGGTCACAGCTGCCTGTTTGGAACTTTCTGAAAGGGGTGACGGTTATCTGCCAGACGCTGTGGGGATGCTCCCACATCACGCCCCCCCGCGGAGATCTCTGCTCAGCTGTTGAAGCGAGCAGGGAGGCGGATTTGACGTCCGCAGCGCGTAGCTTGTGCGGAGAGTTTTGAAGGTGTTGGGGGATGAGGCCCGTGCTGCTGTGGTTGTCGGGTTGAAAGTCGTGTGGGTCTCGTGGCTGGATTCGTTCAGCATGTAGGCAGGCTTGACCCGATCAGTTGATACAGTTACGGGCCTGTCGCGTACAAGAATTTGCATCGTCTTGCCCCGCCGCGTGAAGACCTGGTAGGGGCCGCGGTAGTGGGGCTCCAATGCCCTGCGCCCTGCGTCTTGCCGGAGGAAGAATTGAGTGCAATTACCGAGGTCCCTGTGCACGAACGTAGCCGGGGAGGCGTGCCGTGATGCCGGAATCGGCCTGAGTCGAGCCATATGCTGCCGTAGTTCGGTGATTAACTGCGCTGGGTCCGCTGGTTCGGTGGTCGGTGTTAGCAGCACGCCGGGCACCCTGAGGGGCTCACCGTACACGAGCTCAGCTACCGATGCTTGTAGGTCCTCCTTGAAAGCCATGCGGATTCCGAGGAGAACCAGGGGAAGCGACTCAGTCCACTTTTGGTCCGCGTGGCACATGATGTCTGCCTTCAGCGTCCGGTGAAAGCGTTCCACGAGTCCGTTAGCTGCTGGGTGGTGGGCGGTTGTACGTGAAAGCAGGATGCCGCACAGCCTGGTAAGGGATGTGAAGAGTTATGATTCGAACTGGCGTCCCTGGTCGGTGTTGATAGTCTGCGGGCAACCAAAGCGAGATATCCAGCCGGTCAGCAGGGCGCGTGCCACTGTGTAGGCTGTGATATCCGGAATGGGGAAGACCTCTGGCCTGCGGGTGAAACGGTCGACTGCAGTGAGGCAGTATGTGTAACCCGCTGACGTCGGAAAGGGTCCAACAAGGTCGATATGGACGTGCAGAAAGCGAGCTGCCGGCGGTGTAAAGTCGCCCAGTGGAGTGACTGTGTGGCGGGAGGCTTTGGAACGCTGGCAGGACTGGCAGGCTCGTGCCCAGGTGCGGCAATCCTTCTGTACGCCTGGCCACACGAATCGCTGTGCGACCAGCTTTGCTGTTGCTCTGGTGCCTGCGTGTGACAAATCGTGGACGGACCGGAATACTTGGAGTCGTAGAGGCGCTGGAACGTACCGCTGAGATCTCCCGGTAGACGTGTCGCAGTAGACGGAAAATGCGGTACTGGGGAGTGTTAGTTTCTCGAGCCGCAGGGCGGTGGTTGACCCCAGGAGTGCTCGAAGTTCATCGTCGCTGTCCTGGGATGCTGCGAGTACGTCGTACGGTGGTGGCGCGGTGACGGGCTCGACGCGGGAGAGGGCTTCGGCGACAACGTTGTCTTGTCCAGAAATGAGTCGGATGTCGTTTGTGAACTGGGAGACGAAGTCTAGATGGTTTTAACTGACGGGGTGAGCATTTATCACGCTTGCTGGAAGGCGTAAGTGATGGGCTTGTGGTCAGTGAAGATGGTGAAGTGTCGGGCTTCCAGCATATGCCGGAAATGTTTGACGGCCTCGTAGATGGCCAGCAGCTCGCGGTCGTAGGCGCTGTATTTTTGCCGGGCAGGGTTGTTTCTTTGAGAAAAAAGCGAGGGGCTGCCAGACGTTGTTGACTTGTTGCTGCAGCACGGCACCCATGGCGGACGTGGAGCCTTCCGTGACGAGTGCGAATGGAGCGGATGGGTCAAGGTGCGCGAGTAGAGTGGCGTGTGACAGGCTCGCCTTGCACTCTTCAAATGCCTTCAGAAGCTCCGGTGTCCAGGAGATGGGGTGGGAACCCTTGAGATCTAGGGCCGGAGAGAACATCGTGCAGTAGTGCTTGGGTGGCATCCGCGTGGGGTAGAAATCGCCGGTAGAAGTTAACCATGCCCAGGAAACGACGGAGCTGGCTGGCGGTCTTTGGTGGTTGGCAGTCCTGCAAATGAGTTCCTCGCTCTGCCAGAGGTTGGGACCCCTCGGCGGACACCTTGAAGCCGAGGAAGGTAATCTCGGGTGCTCGGAAGACGCACTTCGCCGGGTTGATTATGATCCCGTGTTTCTGGAGTTGCTGCAAGAGTTCCCGCAGGTGAATCTCGTGCTCCTCTTGTGATCGGGAGAATACGAGGATATCGTCCAGGTACCCGAAGCAGAAGTCGAGTCCCCGCAGAATGTTGTCCATAAACCGTTGGATGGTTTGGGCGGCATTGCGCAGGCCGAAGGTCATGAAGGGTAACTCGAACAGGCCGAAAGGAGTGGTAATGGTCGCCTTCTGAATGTCGCCGGGACTGACGGGAATTTGGTTATAGGCTCGTACCAAGTCAATTTTGTAGTAAATGGTACAGCCATGGAGCTGGTGTGAATAGTCATGGATATGTGGGACTGGGTAGCGGTCAGGGATTGTCCGGGCGTTGAGCGTCTATAGTCGCCGCAAGGACGCCAACCGTTGTCCTTTTTGGGAACAACGTGCAGGGCCGAGGACCAGGAGCTTTCTGAGCCGCGAGGTGTGCCATCTCGCAGCATAATGTCGAACTCTGACTTGGCGATGGCTAGCCGGTCTGGTGCTAGCCGCTGGGGTCGGCAGGTCACTGGCGGGTCTGGTATCGTCCGTATATGATGCACGATGCTGTGGCGGACTTTGCGCTGGACTCCGGCTGGGCGAGTGAGGTCCGGGAGTTTGGAGATGAGGCTGTCGACCGGTGTGCCGCCAGTGTTGGTCTTGACGCTCGAGATCTGCATGCTGGTGGCTTGAGCCCGTACGGATAACGTCGTGACCCTGTCCATGAGACGCTCGTTTCGGCAGTCCACCAACAGGCCAAAATGGGAGAGGAAGTCCACACCGATTATGGGATGCGTGACGTCGGCCACTATGAAACGCCACGTGAAATCCCGGCGGAGACCCAAGTTTAGGCTGAGAGGCAGCCATCCGTAGGTGTGGATGGTAGTGCCATTAGCAGCGCAGAGGTCGTAGTTCACCCTCCCCTTCCGTCACGGGACAAGCATGCGGGGGTATACGCACAGGTCGGAACCGGTGTCGACCAGGAACTGCCGCTTGCTGTACTTGTCGGTGATGAAGAGGCTGCCCGTTGTTATAGAACTGACGCGTGCCGTCGGTGGTGTCTGCTGCTTTAGTTTCCTGCTGGTGGCAGTCACAGGGTGAGGTACACCTTTGTGCCCGGGCCCCGAATCGACGATGGTACCAGCAGAGGGTGGTTGCGGGGTCGTCTCGGGAAGGGGATCGGTTGTGTGTGTGGTGGTTCCTGGTAACTGGGTGGGAGAACCTGGTTCTGTAGTAGGGGTCTCTGGGGTTGGAAGGATGCTCTTTGGAGTTGGGCGAAGGGTCTCTGGAGCTGTTGCGGGGGCGATTCTGCTCGGCCCGGAGTGCTGCCACCTGTCGGGAGAGGTCCTCTATTTCTTCCCTGAGTGCGGCGTTGGGCGATGGCCCAACGCTAGCGAGCGCCGGCTGCGGTGGTGAGCGTGCCGGTAAGATCGACTGGTTCGGTCGGTTGCTGGGTTGCGGAAGATGCGTTCGCTGAAGGCTCGCGGCAGCTATGTCAGCTGCCCGGTAGCAGAAGTGGAGTTGATGCCTCTAACTGTGTTGCCGTTTCGAGTTGAACTGCTTGCACCTTGGGTTCCCGGTCTTAAATACTACCGGCCGGGAGGCGGAGCTAAAGTTGCAGTCGTCACGGCGCGCATCCATTGGGCCGTGCACGGAAAGGCGGAGTCACGGCGAAGTTTATAAATATATGTAGCTGGTATATAAGTCGCAGTAGTTGGAAATTGTATAAATTCCGTGTCTCTTTGGTCACAGCTGCCTGTTTAGCACTTTCTGAAAGGGGTGACGGTTGCCTGCCAGACGCTGTGGGGATGCTCCCACAGATATATTTGTGAACGTGTGAAGCAGAATCTTTAGTATCAGAAGAACAATGTCCACACACAGAGGATTAAATTTTAAAATGGAATACAAAGAGGCAAGCTAGAGGAGAACATTACTGATCCCTGGCTAAGACTAAAATTAAAGTTACTACAGTAAGATCGTGCTATACTATGGGACAAGAGACTGCATTTTAACAAAATTCTTCAAAGTTTTCAAATAATTAGCCTCATGATACAGGCCACAACAGATCTGCACTGCGCATGCTATAAATGTTCATGGTACACTGGGCCACCAACATATAACTGGTTGCATATATACAAGACAAACACACATACGTCGGGCCCAATAAACCCACTTGTATGCTTGTCCATGATGTGACAATGAAATGTCAAAGCTGATCAGTGTAAAATTTTTAAAACGTATTCATCAGTGGTCTTTCCAATTCTTTTTTGTTTCTTCACAGCATCACACAAAAAATCTGAGGCATTAATTACATTTCTTATACATATTTATTTTATATGTACTGTACGTTGTATGATGGTCAGTAACTGATCTGGGAGAATAATAATAGCATGGGTATGAATGGCTTCTCTTGTGGAGAAATATGTGACAAGTGGAATCTTTATCTGACTGGAGAACTGAGCAAACATTTGTTGACCTTTGTATTCAGATACTGACAGTTCAGTAAATTATTAAATGTGTAATTTACAAGTGAATTATCAAAGAGAAACTCACACTTTGAAAAGGATGTTACCAGAGAGCATATTCATATTGTACCGGTTTCGTTACTGAATACGCCGTAGAGATCGTTAACTGGTTTATTTAACAACCTACAAATAACGGCTACAATTATTTGTAACACAGTTGCGGGGTTTCACACTTTATAACCCTAATCGCAATAATCTGTTTACACTGTTGGGGGTCACGATTTGTAACCCTATGCGCAAATCAGTTCACTCTGCCTTCATTAGTCTACACGTTTACAGTCGGGGAGCTATGTATCACTGTATCACACACTCCCAATTAAACAATTACACACACGTTTGGTCCTTCTTTCCGCGACGGCTGCTATACTCCAACTGTAGTCTGCTCACTGGAGAACTGTTCATAACACACTGGCTCGTAGGCTTGCTCGGAACTAGCTCGGAACTGAGCTCGGTGTTGGCCAAATTACAACTCTCGTAGCTGCTGTGCAGTTCCCTTATATAGCCGCAGTGGTGCCTGTTGCGTGCCACGTAACAGGAGTTGTTGACTGCTGCCTAGCAACCGCGATATCCCTTGGTGACGTCACCGCTGTTGACTCGCGTTGCATAGCTACCAGGATGCTGGGACTCGATTAACTTCGGCTCCGCTCGGCTCACTTCAGCTCCGCTCGGCGCTTCAGCTCCGGGGCAGGGGTCCAGCTAGCGCGACACGTCACACTATGAATAGCTACTGTAGCATGGAATTATCTTGTCGATGCCTCGTGTCATACCCCTCTAATAGGCAGCGTCGAATTGTTTGACCTGATCCTGCAAACTCAGCCAGGTTTAGGTCTGTGTAGCCCAACTTCTGGAATGACCGACCCCCTTTCAGCTCCTGAAAACATGACATAATTAAAAAAATCCTCTTAAAGATAAAAGATCTTTAGAAGATATTTCTATCTTCAGTAAAGAAACCATACTCAGAACCATTGCACTTGGGTTCTGTATTGGAAATATGCTGCAATCATGAAGAACTGAAGATCAGGAATGCTTGCTGACATTTGGCTCAGAATCTTTTACCTTCCGATCTGAAATCTAAAAAATAAATATATAAAAATAAAAGAAATCTACACAACACAATATTATATCTAGTCATATTGGGTCTCTCACACTGAAGAAAGATTACAGATTGAGGGTGTACAAGCACAGGGTGCTGAGGAGAATATTTAGACATAAGCTAAAGAAGTGATGGGCGAATGCATAAGAGGTAGTCATAATATTTACCCTTCAACAATGGGGTGATGAAATCAAGGAGAATGGAATTAGCGTGTGTGTGTGTGTGTGTGTGTGTGCGCGTGCGCGCGTGCACATGCTTGGGAGGGAGGAAGGGAAAGGTGGAGAGACAGATCTGGCCCAGGACAGGGACCAGTGGTTGGCTCTTGTGAACATGGTAATGAAATATTGGGTTCCACACAGGGAGGTGAATTTCCTGACCATCTGAGCGACTTTCAGCTTCTCAAGGAGGCCTTTGATTTATGCAGTTAGCTAAGAACATGTACACATGTGCATGCATGTCTGCATGAGAGAGAGAGTGCATGCTTGCAGAATAACTCTGTGACACGCACTGAGAGGGCTCTTGACAGCAGTGATATATAGCAGTTATGCCAACCAGTAAGATTCACAACTGAGCAAACTGCATAGGATTGGGGTTTGCATGGCAGTAAGTATTCAGATTGTCGTCTTCTGGATGGACCAACATGCAATCTTGTAGAACGCCACAAGAGTTTCGGAGGAACTTCTAGTTATCTGTTGTATCTAAAATTCCATTTAACAATGTAGACGTACAGATTATTCAACATTCCACAGTATGTACTGAATGTAGTTCTGAAGTCTGGCGGCCGAAAACACTGGCTATTCTCACTGAAACGTTTAGTGCTTTTTTTCAGTGCCTCCCGACAAATGTCGCGATAGTACCTCGATCAGGCCATGGCCACTTCCTTCAAAATTCCTTCCAATTCATCAATCATTCCATCACCTGACGATATATGGTTGCCAAGTGTAATCCACCATCCTACACTACATCGTCAAGGTCTATTAACTGGTTCTTTGTTTACATTACATTTGTCGAAAAAATTTCCCATTTTTAAGAAGTTCCTTTTAACTGAACAAAACTTACAAACCTTAAATTCTCGTCCTCGAAATATAAACCAAGCGTAAAAACTAAGCTCCATACTGCTCCGATTTCTCCACCTCCACAACATGAAGGTGAATGGGGGAGTGGAAGTACAACTCCACCATCCTTGAGTTCGGTACTGGATGGAGGTGAGTGGTCATCTTCACGCCCCAGCCGCTATGCCCCCAAAGGAAAGAGCCCCCGGAACCTACTAGATAGTAGGCTGGGTGGGCCCCAGAGCTGGTCTGGGTGCTGTGGAGTAAAGGAAAATCTCTTGCCCCTACCAGGAATCGAACCACAGGTGTCCAACTAGTAGCTATACCGACTGAGCTATCATTATGGTTAAGAAAATACAACGTCCTAAGGGGCAGGAGGAACTTTTTGGAATCCGAAATCGCGAACAAATTTACAAGCCAACAAGGTAACTGAAACAGCTGTTATGGTCGAGAAATATTTCAAATAAAAAACTCTAGATGAAAGGATTATTCAGATTTGTTCTAAAAACAACCTTGTGTTACCCATACCTTTTCAGAGACCGGACACGCAACTGTGGAGGTCTGGGCACTGACGAAAAAGAGAAGATAATGGAGTGCAGGAGGGAAAGAAGGGGGCGAGGAAGGACAAGGAAGAAGAGAAGGAAGGAGGTAAGATGAGACAAAAGAAACAAAGTAATTGTGACAGAAAAGGAAAGGAGAAAGGTAGAAAGAGGCGGAAAAGATAATTAAAGAGATGGAGCAGAAAAAGTTAATAAGAAAAAGAAGAAAGGGACAGAACAGGCAAATAATGACAAAAAAGAGGGAGCTTCTTCCCAATGCACTTGCATTCAGGTCCACTGACGGAACTAATGAATTGTAATGCACGTTTCTGAATTATATAACTTTACAGCAACAATGTGTGAGAAACGGCCTGCCGATGAACAGTGTGTCGACACATTTCGCTATAAGAAGCAACGATCAGACTGTAATCAAAGAGTTGTAGAGACAGAATAAATAATGTTTCGTACCAATGTTTTACAAAGTTGTAACAGTGTTAGAAAGTTGTCTTCTGGGTTTAGGCACCGTGTATTCTTCGTTTTGGCCGACGTTTCGGAGGAACGTAGCGCCTCCATCTTCAGAGCAAAACCTCAAAACTTACATTGTAACAGAGTTGATGACCCAGTCTTCCAGACCATTTAACAGCAATTTCTGTTTGTGAACAGCCACATCACGCCAATTAATAAAATGTTGCACCTTTTAACACGTGATAATGGAAATTATAATCAATTTATATAGATATCAGTATTAGACACAAGACAGAGCGGTATTGGATTTTAATCAACAAAAATTATCTGCTATAAGATAAAGTGTGAAGTTACCCCTTTTTAACCGAACCATTGAAATCCTTCCCCCCCCTCTTTTTATTTCAGTAGTTTATAAAGTAGACAGTAAGAATTACTAAGAAACATAGATTAAGACACAATCAGAACAAGCAGATAGACCGAACTTGCGCGGACAAGGACGTCTGTTTTGTCCTTGCGTCCAAGCATCTGGTGTTGCTTCGAAAAGGGCAGAAATTATACTTCAAGGAACCCCACTGAGTTTCTTTAGAAATTGAGAAGTTGACTTACAGTGGCAAGCCACTTTGAGAATTCGAGCAGTGGCAGTCTCTGCCAGTCGTAAGTCAAAAGTGGGAGTGCCAGGAGATCATTAGCGACCCCTCATAAGTTGCATAGCTGTCAATTTCGCTATTTGGGATTTTAGGGCGAAACTACTTCTAAAACAATCGGTCATTGGCCGGAACCAAAAATTAAGCCAACTCCTCTTATCTGAATCAGCCTATCCGGGAATTTAGGAGGAGGAGAGAAGAGGCGGATACAATTCAGTTAGGACCTCTGGCTCGACAGAGTCCAGTTTTAAGATTAAGAGTCTGCTACAAACTTTAGAACTTGGCGGAGGTGAACCCCGCGATTATACTTGCGTGTTAAGTTAAATAATTTGAGCAAGTGCAACACCGGCTGCTTGGAAGCCGAAACTAGGCCTGATAGTGTAGGTTCAGACCTCCGAGTGACTGTGAGAAAACAATAAAGTGTTCCAGTGGTACAGTGCATTGTGTTGGTTAGAA